GGTAGTGAGAAAATTACACAATTAACTCCTAAGACAAGTTTTGTCTATGTATAGTAAGATTTTTTGACTGGTTACTTATAGTACATGATTACCAAGCCCAAACAAGTTTAATAATACTAGAAATGTCTAAGACGAGATTTGTCTATGTATAGTAATATTTATTTTGATTGATGCCTTATATTACAAAGAATTCATAAGACGAACGTTGTCTATGTGCAGATTTATTTGTTGGTAGTGAGAAAATTACACAGTTAACTCCTAAGACAAGTTTCGTCTATGCATAGTAAGATTTTTTTGACTGGTAAGTTGTAGTACATGACTATCAAGCCTAAACAAGCTAACAATACTAAAAACATCAAAGATGAGATTTGTGGGTTTTTGCCTTAAAAAATTTTGTCTGAATTAGCCCGATAGGAAGTGTCGGAATATGATTGTTTGATATTAATAGGAAAATTTACATGTAACTCCTAAGACGAGCTTCGTATAGTTGTAATATACAGTCAGACCTCCCTAAATGCAATGCGACGGGACCATATATAAAAATTTAGTCAAACGTGCACTTAGAGAGGTATTGCATTTAGGGAGGTAAAAATCTATAGATATAATATTAGTTGGGCCCAAGAGAAGACATGCTGTTTCATAGGACGTGCACTTAGGGGGGTAGCATTTAGGGATTTGACTGTAGTTCCCAGGCAATTACACAAAACACCTAAGACAGGCTTCGTCTATTTCTTTGTAAAATTTTGGTTCTGTTGTCCGGGTTAAGCCTTAAATATTATTATGTTTATTTTTAGGTCTTATTACATATATGTAGCTTATTTCAGAAACTATTAATATTCTTAAGATTTTAAAATTACCCATAATAAAAATGTATTTTAAAATTAATTCAATCCTTGGAGGCCCTAAATAATTTTAGACTTAATGAATTATGCAGATTGAGTCAAGTTTTCAAATTTAGTTTTTGGTATTTACCTTTTTTTTTTAAAAATTCATTAATAATTGGATCTATATCTTGGTCATATAAAGTAGAAATCGAAAACCTTGCATTAATGAAGAACTCTTTTCTTTCATTTTCATTGTTAATTTTTTTAAATGATCGAAGCAAATTTGTTGCATAATTTTTATAACGTTGATTTTTCTTTTGTTTTACAGTATATGTTCTGTTTATATCATATTCAAAGGACTTTATGAAATCTTTAATAATATCTTCATCCTTTTTATACGTTCTGAATAAATTTTTCATAAATTCTAGATCATTAAAAAGGTGTCCAAAATATTGTAAATCTTCAATGTATTTGATTAGATTTTGACGATGCTTTCCCCATTCCGTAGGATCTCTCGAATCAGATGAAGGTAAAAGAGGATAATCGAGGTTTACGGATTTTGAAACCAAAACATTTTCTATAAATTTGCTTTTCCAATCCTTTGTGCTCTTTGTGTTGTTCTGTGTCATACTGATCTGAAAAAAAAAAATCTTAATAATTTTCATAATAAATTTTTCTATTTGTTAAACTACTCACATATTAAATGAACGAATAAATTTTTATATAGAAAATTTAAGGTAGGTTATGATGTGAAAAAAATTTATTTAAGATCTTTATAGCGGATGTAGTGGATGTAGTGAAACATTAATCTTTCCTATTTCTATTTATATATAACACGTGACAATAAAATTAGTTTAGCCGTTAATAGGAATCAGGCAGTTTGATCTTAAGCTTTCTTTGACTACTATTTATCAATTTCAGATACCTAACTGAATCTATTCACTACACATGAAAGTTCTCGTTTTGATCATGTAAAGCTATTTGATATGTTGGATGCGATACAATGAATTTGGACAGATTCTATCTATTATTACTGTGATAAAATCTTTACAATCTGATATTGTAGACATATGCAAAGCAACACACTCAATCACTAGCAAGGTTTAGGAAGCGACTTTTGTTCGCATAATTTCTGCGTAACAATTGTTCAAAAGTTAAAAATATTTATACTCTATAATTGTTTTTAATATAGAACTAACCCACCATAATCTGTGTGCCCGAATCCATGACTTCCAGCCATTATTTCAGCAATAAAATCTTTTATATTTTGAATCATAAACATATACAAAGTTTCAGATTGGCCGACCCCAAAAGTTCCATGCACAACTGGCTCGTAAAGATCAGTATACAAATATGAATGCATCGACTGCTTGATCCTATAAAAAATCGATAAAATCAGTTTGAACTCTATGTATCAATTTGAGAAATAAAGAATACTTAACTGCCAAATTATAATTAAGATAAAAGCTTCAAGAATAAATATAAAAAACAGAATAGTATTGCAAGTATGTGATAAACATTTATAACTTTCTTGAAGTTTTTCCTTATTCATCTTTGCGATTTCTAATTTTTTAATTCTTAAAATTTTTTAGTTTTTATAATTTTTATAGTCCTTCAAAAAATTATAACTATTTACTGTATATATACATATTCATTTCGCGTTCAATTGCGTAACAGATCAGCATTATATACGATATAATTTATATTACAACCTTATCAAAGAATACTGTATATTATACATGACTTGGTTTTAATGTTCTGTAAAATAGGTAATACAAATAACCGCAGCAAATGAATTAATTATCTCCTTATTTGAACAAGCACATTTATCATTGAACAAAGGCTTTTGCAATAGCACGCGAAGAATTGGAAACTTTGTATATATCATTAAATTTTTAGCAGTAGATAAATTTCTGTTCGTCTACACCTTCTTGGAATTTGATTGATTGTTGCGTAGTATTTATTTTTTCCATATTTGTTTTTTTATGCTGAAAATTCTTTAAAAAATTGTGATACTTGATATGTTTTAACGTGTATAATTGCGTAACAGATCTGCTTTATATATTATACTGTAATATATTAATCGTTATCATAAAATGCTGTATATTATACAGAACTCGGAGTTTCATTTTAATTAGGTAATACAAATAAATATGAATAATCACGGCGAAGATGGCATAAATTAAAACAAATATGAATTAATTATCTCCTTATTCGAACAAGCACATTTACCCTTGAACAAAGCCTTTTGCAAAAGCATGCCAAGAATTGGAAACTTTGTATATATCATTAAATTCTTAGCAATAGATAAATTATTTTTTCGCAAATTTTCTTTAGGCTAAAAAATTCTTTAATTAAGAATTATGATATCCGATATGTTTTAACGCATAACAGATCTGCTCTATATATTATATAATATTATTAATCGTTATCATAAAATGCTGTATATCATACAGAACTCGGAGTTTCATTTTAATGTTTTGTAAAATAGGTAAT